ACACACACACACAGACACACAAACAACACACACACACACACACACACACACACACGCACACACACAAAAGACTGATCCAAAATTGAGCTTAACGTGAAGAAGAAGTGCTTCAGCAGCGAAAAACACGCGGCGTAAAATGCCAATGAGCTCTGGTATTGATCTTGTGATTATGTCTCTTATCTGCTCAAAAGAAAACAGTCGCTCAGTAAGCTCCGTATCGGTGAGGACACACACTGCTCTGCTGCTGTGATTGTCTGTCGATACAATGTGGAGGTGGAGATGTGACATTTCATAGAGACAGCTGAAGCCAAAGCGAGTTATCTCCTCCTTCACTTCGTTCTGTCTTTTTTTATATCTTCAGGGCCTTTCGATTTCCAAAAGGCCTTTTTCTTTCATATCTGAGTGACCTAGAGGCAGTTTACGTTGTCGAGGTTTCCTTCTCGGTGCTTGAGGAATGCGCAGAGGTTGAACTACGTGATGTTTGTGTGAGTTTTCACTGGTAGAAACTGAGTTGATTTAATTGCCGCTGGCCGTGAGAACACCGTCCTCTTCACCTCCTCCTTTCCTGAGTCCCTCTTTCTTTCCTTTTGGCCTCTGAGTCTTTCCTCCTCATTGTTCTTACTGTCCAACCGGGCTGTCAGATGACTGAAAGGTCATTTGGACCACTTTTTGTGAGAGAGAAGGACTTTCTTCTTACTCATTTTTGTCCTTGACCACAATCAGATCAGTAAACTTTGGGAAATATTAAATTGTGCAGGAGGTTCTTGTGTAAGATAGATTTGCTCTTTAGTCCGATGGTGATTGTTTAACTTTTGTTGGCTGGTCCACCGTTAGATTAATGTTCAATCGGGCGCACTGGTGAGGAACACACTGAGACAAAGACCTGGCTGAAGAGGAGCGGCCGCATTCAGGTCTGGTTCTTTCACTGAGGATTTGTTTGACTACAGTCACCATCAGTCACCACTCGTTGTGTAATCCCTGGATGGACGCCAGGAAGCACACAACCTCAAAACAAGTCCTGCAGTGACTGGCGCCTCCTGCTGGTGTTAGGACTGAGACGAGTCCACTTCTGGAGTCAGGAGTTCTGATTTGAGAAGTCCCGTCTTACAAGTAAAACCCAGCCGCTGTATCTGCTGCGTAAAGACGTCTACTGTAAGTGATTTATAGCTGAATTTTCTCTGCGTTTTACTCAACCTGTGTGATTTATAGCACGTGGACGACTATCACCTCTACAGACCGAACCATCGCGCCTCAGGGCTTATCTTTAAGGCCTTCTGCAGTAATGACCACTGTTGTAAACCCCATTGACCTGCATCTGCTGTGAATTACACCACTGCTGATGGCATACATTTGTTTAATACATTAAAGATAAGCTGTATTATGTGCATTTATTTGTGTTCCTGGCTGTTTGTGTGTGTGTGTGGACGTATAACTGCATGCTGATGTGTGTGTTTGTCCAGTGTGCATTCGGCCGAGACCACAGTCTCAGAGTACAGTTTTTTGGCGTGATTCGAGATGCTGCGATAAGTTGACAGCAGCGGCTGTGGTTTCCGTGGTGTTGCAGTGGACGGGCTCTGGCCTGTGCTCACCTTTCATTCGCAGCTTCAGAGGTTTGTCCGTCAAGAATAAGAAGTCTTTAATCCTAATGTGATAAACTAGATCTCTGTCTCCTTCATATTGAAAAGGAGAGCCTGCTGTTCGCAGATGGGAATGGAAGATAAGTCCGTGTGTTTTTATGTATATTGCAGAGAGAAAGCGTCCTGTTGGCTGGTGAGACAGTTGCTGCTTTTATGATATGGCAGCCAAAGGAGGGGGATGAAAAACCTCTATAAACCATGAGTATCCGATAAGCAGCTCTCACCACAGTTCACTTACCTTTTTCAGACTTCTGTCCAGATTCGATAAAGAAGGTCAAGCAAAGTTTAATTGTATAATCCAGGAAGGAAAACTCGCAAAAACTTAACAGACCCAAGTTTCTATAAGAATCTTAATCTGTTTAATATAAAAGTGTAAAATTAGATGTGTGTCCACCAAGTCACTACTACGTTATTTGCAAGCAACAGGTGTAAAGAAGATAACAACATTCATACAGTCATATGAAACCCATGTGTGCTTGTTACATCTGGTTTTGCTGATCATGTTTAGATGCAGCCTCTTTGTTACTTTCAGATGTCATTAATGTCAATCTTCCTCCGATCGCACACACCCACTCACCACAGACACAATAAATGAAAGAAATTAGGCAAATGAAGAATCAGATTACTTTTAATTAAGCACCAAATAAGTGTTTAATCACAGCAAATTACCCCCCCCCCCTGCCCCCCGTCTAACTGAATTATCTTTTCAAATTAAATCACTATCATTCGGGGTGCCTCTAGGAGCCTCTCTTTGTTTTAATCTTGTTTCTCTCTTTTTTTCTAGACATTTTTCTCATCACTAGATAAGGATTCGTCCTTCGTCACGTATATTTTACCAGTTAATGGATAGGAGTAATTTCCCGTGCTTCGATCTCATTCTCCAAATGAAGGAGCTGGGGTTGGTTTCCAGGGATAATTAGACCCTGATACAAAAGATGGGACTAATATGGATCATTATTACTCAGACACATAATTACTAATGGAAATCCACATTACTCCGTTTCCATCCTTCGACACACCTAACCCATTTTAACTTTGTTTCTGCACAGATCAAGAACTGCTGGAGGACATCGTGATTGACAGCGGCTTTTACCTCACTCAACCACTGGTAATAGAGTTTCATAGAGAACATATATTTTAATACAGCAGTAGT